AGAAACAGTTTAGTGGTTACAGCCCACTACACGCTAGTATCAGGTAAGATTAAAAAATACAAATACTTACATAAAAACTCAATATAGTATATATGTTTTTAACAAAGCTACAATATACTTAGTATGTAAATCCTAATTCTTTACAATAGATAGCTTATTAGTTAAATAAATAAAATTATTTAAATAAAACACTTTAACGCGATATATATCTTAGTTAAAGTTATTTAAAAATTATTTTTAACTTCGTCTTCCCTTGACCACGGCTGCTGCAAAGTATCCGAAACATCTCTTTTTAACTAATATTATCTCTTTTAAACCAATGAAGTGTTTTATTTAAATTATTAAAACTCGCGTAAAATACAGCCAGTTTTTAAATAAAATTTTTTTTCCCCTTTTTTTTTTTTTTTTATTGTTCGTTTTAAACCAATAAAAAACTTCTGATGTTTGAAACGCAAAAATATATTTTGTCTAATTTTTACTACGACACGTTTCTGAAGTTTTGCAGCAGCCATGATCACGGAATTAAAGTATAATATATTTCGTGTTTTAAACGGTTTAATTTAAATATGCACTGCTGGTGAACAGACAATGCTTTTTATATGTTTTGGCGAATATATTATAGTTTGCAAAGCAAACAACTTTGACGTGATGAACAACGCGCCTATTTGAGAATTTTACTACTATAATGATAGTTTGGTATAAGCCACTTAGCACCAACGCCTCAAGAGCTTATAAATTCCATAACACAGCATCTAATAATAATTTGTTAACCATCTAAACCCGATACCCATAAAATATCCCATCAATAACCTCGGTACAGTCAAGTGCACAGGTGAACCTTCGCTCCTATAACAAAACGTGGAAGGTTCAAATTCTGTCACTACCTGTATCCGTGTTTTTTCATCGCGAACGGGTCGTGGCGACTTGATCAGATTAGACCAGGGAACCGGTTACTCGAAAACATCTTGGAAAAAAGTAACAAAAAACAACACTAATAACAACAAATAACGAGGCGTTCGGCCGTGGCTAGTGATGGGAAGAGTCGATAAGTTGATTAGGCGAGCCTTTTAGGAATCATTATATTTTATCGACATGCAAATTATATTGCATCATTAATGCCTTTTAATTACGTATTTTCACAAAAGGGCGGATATGTCGATTTAGATAAAACACTTTAACAGTTTAAAACGCGAAATATATACAACAGAAAATTAGTTTATTAATATTTTTCGCATTTTTTATTTAAACGTGTACTTGCGTAAACTACAGACAAACATATGAAGAGATTTTTAATGCTGTCCTAACCACGCAAACTTTTAAAAGTTGAGACTACTCATAATTCTAAAACTACCCTCTTCAAAATATCTTGTATTGCCTTTTGATATCAGTAAACATTAACGCCTTTATTTACCTAATCTGAACGATTTAATTAAATCATAGAGCCGTATAATTTCTAATATAAAATTCTTTTTCGTTCAAAGCAGTCCATCGATGGCCCTCGAGTAGAGTATTGATCGAATTCAAAACTGATGACGGAGGCCCTTGACCGCCTCTCAAATACGTCTTATCTAGCTTACGTTCAACGTTTCATATCCACGTAGCCTGGAGAGGCTGTAAGTATATGCAAAAGCTTAATATTTTTAGATTCTGAACGGTAGACTAGGAGATTTCATAATTTTCTAAACGTTATCCAGCCTTTACAACCAGAAATACATGTCAATAAAAACTTTAACGGTGTAAAACGCAAAATAAATTATTAAAACTTATACCTGACGTTTCTGAGGCCTTCCGGAGTCTTCTCGTGACCACGAATGCTGCAAAGCATCGGAAACGTGGGGCCGAAGTTAAAATAATTGTCAAATTAGCTTAACTAATAGATTTCGCGTTTTAAACCGTTAATGTGTTTTATTTAAATGTGTACTACTCGCGCAAACTACAACAGTATTAAGAAATACATAAATATTGTTGAAGTAGATAATTAAATAATTTTCGAAAATTATAATTCTAATTTAAAATTGTTTGAAACTTATTTAAGTTATTTGAGTTTTATCATTAGCATCAAGGTATTCCTTTTATCGACTAGATTACTCCGTAAACATCTGGAATTTGAATTTATGAGAACAGAAAATGATTTCAATTAGATGGATATAGTATTGAAAAGCGGACGACGAACTAAATAAAAAATGTAGCGAAGAAGCAGGCCAGTATTTGAAAACTGAAAAAGCGTTAGGTTAGGTTTAACTGAAAAAGTTTTAGGTATTAACGGAGCTTTTGAAATCGACGGAAATAGATCGTTTAATACAACATTTTATGTTACCTATGTTTATAATAAATTTAATTACGATTCAACAGTCCGTTTTGAAGACTTAATTAATGTTAAATTAGGAAAAAACAGATGGCGGTAGCTGGTAGACTTGTGAAAAGGAATGGAAGTCATGTATGGCCAACATTTTTCAAATCAATTTATATTTTTATATTTTTAAGAAACAAGGTGGAATTGGGTCTGTAGGTATGGGTAGTAAATGGGTGGTAGGACGAAATTCCTTCCTGGTCACGAAATACCGTCCACGAACGACGACAAAGGCGTGAAGTTTAATCGCGTTTCAGATTCAGTCTGTGGATTTCCGAATGTCCAAAACCCAAATACGTCGACAAGGTTTAGATGTTATATGGCTGGGATATTTCACAGACTATAAAATAGACAGCCTAAATAATTAAAAATAAATACGTTTCATCGATAACCGATCACATCACTAAAACATTAAAGCGAGATGAAATTATACGAAAATATTGTAACGATAGTGACAGATGATTATAAGCTGGCGATAAAACACACATAATTCTCACATAATGGACCCGAAGCCGGTGATAATTCCCACCTTTGGACGTACTTTACAGAAATCAATTTCACATTGACGTGACTAGAGACGGTGGTGGGGCGGTTCGTTTCGTCTTGCCCACCGGCGCGTGATTCATCTGTGTAATCATAGGTAAATTATTGTATCGACATTTATTTGATGTCTGTGGTTTCAACAACCTGGTTCTGTCTGTAAAGGTGATGTCACTGTCTTTGAAATATTGAAAAAGTATTTAATTGCCAGTCTTTTTCTTCTTCACTTAGTAATTTAAAAAAAAACATACAAACTGAGAAATGTTATCGTGACAAGAGGACTATATTCTATGTGTCAGTTTTTTGCACTTTTTTTTATATATTATAGTGGGTAGTTTATCATTTTCTTCGACTTTTCTAAACCAAGATAAGGAATTGTGGGTTAGGGGATGAAAAAACGAATACATGCTTCAAATTTTAATTTAAGATATCTTTCGAAGATCCAAAGCCAAAATAGGTTGACAGCCGAATCTTTTTTAGATATTTTACCTTTCATGAAGTAAACCCGATGTATGTCTGTCCTCTATGCTAAAAAACATGTATAATTAAAATGGATTATACTACGAATAGGGGTCTATATAACTGTAATTCTTTCGTCTTTAATTAAGCCGTGACAATCAAACAGACTCTATATATGTATAATGATATTAGTACAGACCGATCACTAGAAATTTAATACTATAACTACAAAGCTCAACCCAAGGTTACAGACGTCACATCTAGTCAGTGTATATTATAAAATAATATCCAATATCCAAACCCCGGCTGGGACGTTAACCAACAAATTATCTCCATACCACCTTTATCTTGAACGATATTTATTTTTGAAGAAGTGACAACCTTCATTAAGAGAAACCTGACACAGAACGCACTCAGATACTCAATCAATGTTGTCATTTTATTTTTTAAATAAGTAGCGAAACGATAAGGGAGTATAAGCACGACATACGATGTATTATGGTAATGTGCGCAAACTCGAATCTCAAAATGTAATGTGAAAACCGTGTCCCGCGGTGGAGCTTGGGACAAACGCATTTAATTCACTGATTGATTTTATTTTGTAGGCAACTAGTTAATCATTTAAATAAAACATTTAACAGTATAAAACGTGATATGTATTAGTTATACTTCACTTGGTTTGAACTGAGCTGCAGCCGTGGTTACAGGTAGGCTTCCCGTAGTCACGGTTGCTGCAATGCATCCGCAACTTCGGGTCGTAGTTAAAATAATTTTCAAATAATAAATTGTGTAAGACTTTCACGTCCATGGTTCAGCATATCATTGTTTTTCGGGCTGTTCTGAATTTAAATTTTTAAATAAGTTTAACTTATATACCGCGTTTTATACCGTTAAAGTTATTAATGTTTACTACTGGCGTAAACTACAGACAGTATTTAGTTAATCATTTTGAATCTGTTTTCCCAAGATTTTAAGTAAAGACCTCTTATATTAACGCACTGTTAAGCGTAGGTATATGATCATATTGATTTTGCTTTCCCAGGATTCGAACTAACTCTCAATGTAACTGTTAAGCGTATATTAATTAAGGTCGGTTAACTCATCTCGTCGTACTCCCAAATCTTAATCAGGTTTAATTTCTTTGTGAAGTAATAATTACCTAGAACAGACATGTTACAAAAATGAATAATTGTAATCTCATTTACCATGTGGGAATGGGGCGGACACATATCTGTGTCCGTTACAGAGGTCGAGTTTATTTACAAAGTAGTTAAGCTGACTGACACCATGGTATGTTTGGTAAAACTACCGTACAATTTCTATATTTACTATTATTTACGTAATTCAAGATTACGGTGATCTCTGACTTTCGCTGTAACTGTACTTAATCAACCCTTTCTACTTCATATTATATCCACATACAATTAATTTCCAAGAACGAGTTGGTTTCATTAACAAAATCACTTCTCCATCTCCATAGTCTCCCCATGGCTGTTGCAAAGTATCCGAAACGTCGGGCCTAAGGTAATAAATCAGTTTAACTAATCTATTCCGCATTTTAAACCGTTAAAGTGTTTTATTTAAAAGCCCTTAAAATAAAAACAAAACAAATCTAAAAATTGTAATAAAAATAAATAAACGTTTTACTCACCAAAAACTGGACTGAGATCTGACTTAACAGATAACTTCCCGGAATACGGCTCGCCCGATTTTTCCTGAAAAGTGAAAATTCAAATTTAGAATGCACTACCAATAGAAACAACTAATTACACTTAACGGCTTTTTTTATCTGTGGACTGTGATTCGTGACCCGGACGGAATTTCGATATTCCTACCAATTGATATCCAGATTTCCGGACAAAGTCCACCATCTTTCAGAAAAATGTTGCACCCGGCGGAGATCGAACCCATGGTCCGTTGATTAAAGCCAACCAACGAGCCATCAACAGCCTACACCTTGTAAGACTCTAGATACATAATAATTTGAAAACCTCTTTAGTAAAATCGTGAGAAAGATTAAAACACAATTCTTCGAAATTTAAATCACAAAAAACATAACGAAATCTCGTTGTGAAAGGGCCGTATCAATTCCACTCGCCTCCCCAAACACAATTCGATATAATAATAGACATAACAAATCGTAATGTTTCCGCTATCATTAATTCGAGCACCGAATTTCCTCTATCTCCAATCAACCGTTCGGAATCTCGACACCTTAGGGGGGTTATTCTAAACAGTGGAGATGTCGAACGCGATATTTCGTGTATTCACTTGGTACAAGTAATGCAAGATAGTACAAGCGATTATAAATATTTTGCTTGAATTAGAAATATATATCTTTAACTTATTTGTAATATAAATAGAATAAGTTTAACGCAAAAACCGTATCCCAATAGTCTCAGATTCAAGTCTAACAAGTGTTATTTAAAGTATACTCACCCACGACGTCGTGCTTGCGAGTTAATCTTAAACTAGACTGTTGCATATATTGGTCCTAGTTACATACCCTACCATAGCCTTCATTAATAAATGGTCAATCCAACCGGTAGTTCCTGAGATCCACGCGTTCAAAACAAACAAATCTTTTCAGATTTAAATAAAACACTATAACGGTTTAAAACGCGATATATTAGTTAAACTTATTTGGAAATGTTATTTAATTTCGGCCCGATGTTTCGGATGCTTTGCAGCAGCCGTGGTTACGGGGAAACTCCTTCATTCAATCAAATTCAATGGGAAAATCATTTCCAAATAAGTTTAACGAATTTATCGCGTTTTAAACCGTTAAAGTGTTTTATTTAAATGTGTACTACTCGCGTAAACTACATACAGTATTTAAATCTTTTCAGCTTTGTAATATCAACTATAGAGATTTTTATACTATTATTGTCAAGTGATAATGTCTAAATGAATAGAATAGTTCCACGAGTTCTAGGAGGGTCGTAATTGAATAAGTCAAAATCAGTTTACCCCACTCTGCCATGTTTACCCCAATATAGGGGTAATAGCCCCAATTGATAGATTCTTACGTGAGAGCCATTGTCCACCTTTCAAGGCCAATTTTCCTTCAATTACCAGTTAGGGTCAGTTTGATTTGAAACAAGAATGTTTAACCATACGATACTAGACGAATTTTTATTTTCATTTGGTATTAACAAAAATTATAGTAGTTTTATTATTCATAAAGCCAATAAAAATATACAAAAAAATTTTTTTTGAAAAATCAAAAATTTTAGATTACATTAATAAAACTATTATAATAGATAATAAATACACTCGAATCTGTTTTAATATAACGCGAAAAAATAAAACACTGTAACGGTTTAAAACGCGATATAATATATTAAACATATTCTAACTACGGCCCGACGTTTCGAATGCTTTGCAGCAGTCGTGGTGAAGTAAGTTTACCTAATATAAACCGTTTAAACGGTTAAAATGTTTTATTTAAATGTGTACTACTCGCGTAAACTACAGACAGTACTTATTTCAAGTTTTGTTTATATTCAAGGTTACAAGTTAAGTTTCCATCTTAATTTTAAAGACATAAATAAATATCTATAAACTCCTTTTAAAGGTTACGATGTTCGTACATCCATATATTAACCGCGACGATAGTTACTTAACGGCTAAAAGAACGATGCCTCATTTTTTACTTTTAACTATCTATAGAAATACTTGTTTTATATTTATTTACTTGCACCGGCTAGATGTCAAGATAATCGCAATTACGTGCCATTTACGTCGTTGTAATTGATGAGAGGTAGCGGGTTCGATGACTGCTGCGTGTAAATGTTTCAATAAATGCCGCCATAATTTGTGTTTAGCTCGAGGAATTATTAATTTATATTGTTATTCTGTGGGATGATTTATCGCGATACTTAAATTATATATCTTAATTAGACTTAGACTTAACGAAGTGAATTAAAATCCTGATTTAAAATATATATTTTAGGTTTACCTTTTAAATGGTAGAAGTTGATGACAAAATTGAAGCGGACACACGAATGTGGACGCCGCAATAGAGAAAACGAGATTTGACTTTCGTTTCGTTCTTTTCGAATTAAGAATCCATTTTAAATTGAAATAATTCACGACACTGGCAGAACTTACACCACAAGGAGCTATCGTGTACCAATATCATTAATTTTAGTGTCTGTATCTACAAACAGATGTTATTTGCTAATTCGAAAATGAATTTGCTGCCAGAACTACTTGGCAAAATTTTATTATATTTCACATATACCACGCGACAATTTATTTAAAAAATGTGATAAGTGTGGTTCGAGGACCGACGAAGGTAATATAACGCGCTGTGAAAAATAGGGGCGAAAAACAGCGGTAAATGGGGAAAGATATATATATATATATATAAATTTTATAAAAACAAAGAGTTTTGCAAAAACACATTTAGATGTCCAAAACCACGCGGACAAAGTCGCTAACACAGCTAGTATGTACTATTGAACTTAGAAATTAGAACTGTATGTAATTTTGTGCTTTCAATAACAAAACCGGGTGATAAAACTAATCTCCGTCCTTTGGTTAACATCGATCACCATATCTAGACTTATGCGGATTATTTTTGTGTAGGTGGTATTAGTGATAGAGTGACGTCAGTTATAATCAGACAGACATAATGAACGAGGGTCATTCTGTATTTTTTTTATGACAAGACAAGATTATTGGTTGAATATGAATATGGGATGAATGAAAATTACTTGATGGGAGGAAGCAGCCATATAGCAGTCAGAATTTACAGACAAAGAAGAAACTAAAGTAAAGAATTAATTTACTATTAAGTACCTACTATATTTGTATTTTATGTGTTTGTGCAATAAAGTGTTTTATTATTACTATTAACTATATAAGGTTTACCACCCCCCCCCATGTTATAAATTAATAATTAAAAATTGAAAAAAAGACCAATTGAGCTACCTAGTCCCGGTTCCTGAATTGGTTAGACCAACAGCACGGAGCGCTGACGAAGCCGGTTCAAGTCCTGTGCGAGTTCTAAATTTCTTTTTAATTTATTTCGATTTTTAATTCATATAATGCTATCATATGCACCAACATGTGAAAAATATTAAAGTTTCTCAAAATTTATATTATGATCCCAGAATTAGCTCCTTCTTCTCCTTCTCTTGGCTTCAAGGTCTCCCAGTCGTCACCTCAGAAATATTTCATTAAAAAAGTAGCCATAGATAAGTGCCAGACCAAAATGTTCATACATTCTGATAAATAGTGCTATTGTGACATAATCTTATCAAAGTAACAAGGCTACTCGTAAGAATCGAATGTACAAGTTATCTAACCATAATTTTTAACACGATAAATGTGTGTTCTACACATTTATTTATGTAAAGTTTATTGAACCGTATTTCTATAAATCTAGATGTTTAAATGTTTGTAATAAATTACATAAACATCGGGAGTTATGAAACAGACATTTAATATAAAGCAATGTAGTTCTACAGACAATGAGATTATATGACAGACAGGCAAGCATGAAGAGGTTTGATTACAAGACAAGAGTGTGATTCACTTGATAGAAGGTAAAATCCCAAAACCTGATATGATGTAGACCTACTTATGCTTTGGCCATACAGAATAAACTTAACGAAAATTTCACAGCTCTTTCGTCTGTGGATGGTAGTTGTTAAGCCGGATAGATTTTTGGCATTCCTTCCACCCTTTAATACTCTAGGTTTTCCCGACGCCAAAAACTAAATATATATAAACCAGATGCGATGTCGACCTATGATAGCGTTTATTATTTTAATTTTAAACTCTGTTGATCAATTATGAATGTAGATCTAAAGTTGCTTAAAGCGTGTTTTTTTTTGTACGGATGCGCATGCGCAGATGTCAAATTTGACGTAATATAATGTCCTCGGTCGTTACGTGTTAAAATTCAAATTTCGAATTCAATAAATAAACGATACCGAATCCCCACTGCCCTATTAACGAACGAAAGTTCCCAATAAACCGAAATAAATCGTTGTATTACGAGACGCGGCCTGTGGTGTTATTAATGTTACTAACAAGTTCGCTTCTCGGAAAGGACCGATGTATTTTTTTCTCGGACCCCGAGTTTCGGTCACGAATCGTTTCAAAGATAAATAGTAGGTGATGACGTCATTGGACAAATATTTTGCGAACGGACCCTCTTCGGCCTGTTTCTCGAGCACAATGCGATTTGTGTGTTTGTGAAATTAATCTTTCGATATGAATACGAATACAAGAACGTCGGGTCGAAGTTAAAATAAATCTAACTACTACATATATTTTGCGATAAAATGTTATAAATGTTAATTTATAATAAGTATATGTATAAAAAATCTCTTTCAACGGTTAAAAATGTGAGTTATAGTAGTTAACTTTTATTTAACTACATTAGGTCCAGTTTTGAAGAAGTGACCTAATATATATTAAGTTTTAAACCGTTAAAATGGCTTTATTTAAATGAATACTAATTCAAAATGAAAATAGAACAACCTGCGCTAATGGTTTAGATTACGTAAGTAGATTTAATTAAAAACACTATTAACGGTTTAAACCGCGAAATATATCAGTAAACAGCTTATGTAGTTTAAAATGATTTAACTAATAAATTTCTCGTTTTCAACCGTTACAAAGAGTTTTTATAAGGTGGACGAAAGTTTCAATGTTAAAGCGGTCTTGAGGGACCAGCTTGCGTAAACCACAGACAATA